GTGTTTTCCGTGGGGCTCGGCAGCCTCCGGTGGGGTTGGGTGGGTTTTGGTCTGGGGGGGTGGGTGGCCGGGCCGCAGCCCCACACTGGGGACGGGCACTGGGGGGAACTGGGGGTGCTCGGTGCCATCGGGGCACACTCGGTCACACCGGGGACACCCTTGGTCACATCGGGGGCACACTTTGTCCCATCAGGGACACGCTCAGTCCCACTGGGGACAAATTTGGTCCCGCTGGTGCACACTTGGTGGCACTGGGGGCACATTTAGTCCCATCAGGGGGACGCTCAGTCCCATTTGGGACACACTTAGTCCCATCAGGAACGCACTTGGTCCCATCAGGAACACATTTGGTCCCACTGGGAACACATTTGGTCACACTGGGGACATGCTCAGTCCCATCGGGGACACACTTGGTCATACTGAGGACATGCTCAGTCCCATTGGGGACACATTTAATTGCACTGGGGCCACACTCGATCCCATTGAGAACACATTTGGTCCTATCGGGGACAAATTCAGTCCCATCAGGGACACACTTGGTCCTACTGGGGACACTTAGTCCCACTGGGGGCACGCTCAGTCCTGTTGGGGACACGCTCAGCCCCATTGGGGACACACTGGGTCCCATCAGGGACATATTCAGTCCCATTGGGGGAACTCTCAGTCCCATCAGAGACACGTTTGGTCCCATCAGGGGCATTCTCACTCCCTCTGGGGACACGTTCCGTCCTACTGGGGACAGTTGCGGTCCCACTGGGGACATGTTTGGTCCCATTGGGGACAGTCTTGGTCCCCTCAGGGACAGTCTTGGTCCCATCAGGGATAGTCTCGGTCCCACTGTGGGCACAACTGGTCCCATCAGGGACAGTCTCGGTCCCATCAGGGACACCCTCAGTCCCACTGGGGACACAGTTGGTCCCACTGGGGACACAGTTGGTCCCATTGGGGACAGTCTCTGTCCCATCTGTGCCCACTTGTCCATGCGTTTCTCTCCACCCCCCTGCCCAGCATCACATCATGCCCCATCTGGGCTGCAGCCCCCTCGGGGTTTGCAAAGCCCCCAGCAACCATCCCCACCCCACCGGGTGACCCCCACCCTCCTCTTCCTCCTCCTCGGGGTGAGGAAGGGGCTCCCTCCTCCCCTTCCTCCCTCCCCCCTCCTCCTCCTCGCCATCTGTCCCCCCTCATCGCTTTGTCAGCACCGGCTGGAATGTGGATTAATTTCGGGAGGAATGTCACCCCCCGCCTTGCGCGGCTCCTCGCCCGCCGCCATCTCCTCCGCAGCATCCCGCCGTGTCCCCCTCCTCAGGGGGACCCCAGGCTTTTGGGGCGACCACTCGGGCAAAGGGGGGGCCCGAGGAGGGGGGGGTTTTACCGGAGCTGCCACGGGCTGACGCTGCCCAGGCCTCCCCGGGGGGGTGCGTTGGGGCCAAGGGCTGATTGAACGCAGGGCTCGGCGCCTGATTAAACTAATCGGAGGGGTTATTATTATTATTTTTTTTTTTTTATCACGGTGTTCGGATCCCTAGGAGTTTCGCCTTAAAAGGAAACCCTGGCTTTCGGGCAGGGGAGGGGGCCGGGGGCTTCGCCTGGAGGAAAAGCAGATAAATGTCGGGTCCTTATCGCTCCCTGGCTCCGAGCATCCCCGGGGCGCTGGCACCGGGATTTGGGAGGGATAAATCCGGCGTGTGGGCGAGCGGCGAGGCCAACCCAGCCCCCCAGAGCCCCGGGAGAGATGCTGAGGGCACCCGTGGGTGCCAGGCTGCCGTGGGTGCCCAAGGGATGCCGTGGCTCACCCGGGTCCCCCCGTTCCCCTGGTTCTCGGGGTGACTCAGCCCTTTGCCCGGCATAAAGGAGCCCATTCTCCGGCTGGAAGCTGATTTATGCGGCTCTTCCCCACGCCCGGCCGCACAACGGGGCGATTGAGCCCCCTCGGCTCCTCGCAGCCCACCCCCCTGCAGCCCAGCACCCTTTGGGAGAGGGGACAAAGCCGCGTCCGCCGGGGTGATGGGGTCCCCCCCCTATGATGCCCGGGGCTGGGTGGCCGCAGGTTGCCCCGTGGGCAGCCCGCCCGATCCGGGCAGGAATTGTGGCTGGTTTTGCTGGCTCATGGCTGGCGGCGCTGGCACGGGGATGGGGTGGGCTGGCGGCCCGTCCTGTTCTTGCCAGCCAAGTGCCCGGCCAGCAGCGAGCCCTGAGTGGCATCTGCCAGGCCCTGGGGATGGGGGAGCATCATTCCAGGAGGGTTCATTGTCCCAGTCTTGGGGGTGCATCACCCCAAAGGGGAGTTTGTGGTCTCAGGTGTGGGGGTGCATTGCCCCAGGGGGGGTTCATTGCCCTGGGGATGGAGGAGCCTCACTCCAAAGGGGAGAATTGCTCTGGGGATGGGGGACCATCATTCCGGGGAGGTTCATTGCCCTGGGGATGGGGGCCCGTCATTCCAGGGGGGAGCATCGCCCCAAGGATGGGAGACCATTGCCCTGGGAATGGGGGAGCATCATTCCAGGGAGGTTCATTGTCCCAGGCTTGGGGGTGCATCACCCCAAAGGGGAGTTCGTGGTCTCAGGTGTGGGGGTGTATTGCCCCAGGGGGGGTTCATTGCCCTGCGGATGGAGGAGCGTTGCTTTTGGGAAGGGGGCTTATTGCCCCAGGGTGGGGGTACATCGCCTTAGGGGGGGATTCATTGCCCTAGGGATAGGGGAACATCGTCCCAGGGATTGGGAGCATCACCCCAGGGGGGTACATCACCCTGGGGATGGGAAATCATTATTCCAGGGGGATTCATTGCCCCAGGGCTGGGGGATCATCTCCCCAGGGGGGTACGTCACCCCAGGGATGGGGCCGTGTTATCCCAGGGCTGTGTGTCACCCTGGAGCCGGGGGACTGTCATTCCAGGGGGGTGCATCACCTCATGGGGGGGAGACCATTACCCCTGGGGAGGGTAAATCACCCCGGGGATGGAGCAGCATCACCCCAGGGGGGTTCATTGCCCCCAGGATGGGGGAGCATCGCCCTGGGGACCCTGCCCCCAACCCGTACTGATGAACGGCCCCACACATGCTTTCCTGGCAGAAAGCAGCCTGGAAGGGCAACCTCCCCTGGAGGGATCCCATCCCCTGGGCCCCCCAACCCTGCCTGGGGCTGCTGCCCCCTTCCCTCCCACCCCCCAGAGCCTCCCAGCCGTGGAAATGAGAGAGGGGCTGCAGCGGGTCCGGGGGGGAGGAAGAGGCTTTATTAAATTAACTTCAAGGCAGCGAATAATCGGTGTGGGTCAGCCCCACGAGCGTGGGGGGCTGGGGACCCCGGGGTGCCCTCGCGCCCCCAAGGCACTGGGTCCCAAGATGCAGTGTGTGGGGGTCCCCAACCTCCAACTGGGCTTCCTGGTAGAGATGGACTGGGAAGGGGGGGGCGAAGTGGGGGGGAGA